AACTCCTTAATGTACCTATAAAATAAAAGCTTATCATATTAGCCGCTTTCATGTGCACCGACCAGTTCACTTATTTCTGTGTACAAAATCACAAGCGTCATAGTCATCGTCAACTTCAATGAAAAACATAGAAATTATTAGTGACTAGTATTCCCATGACGAGAGAAAATATGGCCATGCAATTTTTACCTCAATGTACAATTGCATTTGATTACCCTAATAAGCTAAATGTTAATTTCAAAGACGTCTATAGAATTCTCGCGTCAAACTCACAGATGAAATGAAAAGCTACTTGTGATGACTCTTACTTTAAGTATAGATTGACCGTCGTTTGTGATAAGCGCTTTTTCCTTACGATACAACACACATCAACATGATGAGAGGGGTTATGATAGATTACGAAATCAGCGATAATAATTGCAATATTCGTTCTGTGAACATGCCATCTTCTACTGCAGATTAAAACCATGAGAGTGATCAAGAACTCTCTTATCACAATTCATCTACTGATTTAGATTGATGGTGTGAGCACAGTGAGTTCAAGTGTTGTGTTTATCACTTGTTCGACAACCTCTATTATCTAGGAATCAGATGAAAACGATAAACTTTCTTTATTTCTGAAATGAATAGCCAATCGTTGCTCCTTACAGACAATATTGTCAAATAATCTCTATCACTTAATTTTATTTATTCACTTCGTTTTCCACTTGATTCAATAATTGACTGAATGAATCTTTTATATGGGTTACGTGTGGCTGTTCTACTATTTTCTCAGAATCAGGTAAAACAAATAAACATTTCTTTATTTTTGGAACGAATAGTCAGTCGTTTCTCATTCCAAACAAAATTTTCGAAAACCCTAGATCTCGCGTGTTTACTTGTTGATATGGTTTTCCACCTACTTCAGCACGTGACTGAATAAACATTTTATGTGAGTGAATTGTGACACCGATTTTTGTCAATACGGTGGAGTTTTTGCTTAGTGTTTTTGTCGAACGATTTCTTTACCAGTACACAAAGTAATTCACCAAACATATACTGTTCAGTCTCATTGTCAGGTAACATTGCTCCTAACTAATCACAATGAAGCATATATTTTTTGTGAATGTTTGTCTTCAGATTTTTGGTTTTAAATGATCTACATTCACTTGCTTAAATTAATTCTATCTTCTCGAATCGTCTTCTCTTTCTTGCTATATTGCACTGTCCATATAATATGGCAAGTTCGACCAATGTACATTTCCCCTAGTTCGATGTCACTGATGGATATCTGACTGATTGATAATTGTGAAATTTATGGCATTTGAATAGATTCGAAATATAAGCCGATTTGCAAAATTCAACTATAGGTATCCACGAAGACTAACTTTGCGTGTGTTCCAACGATGGACTGAATAATGTTGGAATTAGGGTGCTTACGGCATCAAGTCTATACGGTAAAATAGGTAAACCATTTTTAAAGTTTCATGCATTGAAATTTTCAAAAAATATGTTATGCATCAATAATTATCGTCTAGTTTGTAAACTCAAAAAACAGTTAGCGCGGCAATGTGTGAAGAAAATAGCTTGGTATGGTGATGGTTTTTAAGATTACTTGAGTGGCTAGCATAATTGCAGATTGACACTTGGTGGCTGCTTATGTGAAACTGAGGCTAACAAAACATTGGACGACTGTTAGAAAGGCATTGTAAAGGTTCATTACTTTTTTTTGAGATATTGACAAACTCAATGAATTCAAGATAACCTTCAGTAACAAGTTCCAAGCCTTACACGATTTATTCAGAGAAGAAGAAACTACTATTGAGCCCAATTCGAAAAGGGTGTGGCAAGCCCATTTGGCTACTGTATCATTTATCTAGTTATTGTAACTCAGACTCAATTCACTATGTTAATTTCGGTGTGTATGATCGAATGCATGTCTGTACATTAACTCTTAAGCTATTTTCCTATTGGTTGCAATGTGCAGATAATCGATAATTTATCCACACCCGATTAACTCTCAAATATATATGGATTTTTAACAGACTCACTCACTCTCTCTGTTTCATCGTGTGCTTGCTCATCGTGCGCTTGTGGATTATTATTATTCATTAACAATAAACTATCTCTATAACTGGTGTTCAGGCTTTTTAATAATCTCGAGTAAATTCGCAATTCTACTAGGAGATTAAGCCTAGCTAAAATACTCAGTTACGGGATATTATTATTTGGAGTCAGATATTGAGGACATTATCCATAACATATTGGTGAACCGCTTTTAGAACACACACCATTCCTCTACGAATTCTGCTGCATACTCTCCAAGCGTATCTTAAAGAACTTCACATTGGAATTACTATTACAATTATTAACAATTCATTAACAGTCATAATAAATCCATCCATAGCATTGTTCCTTTGGAATTATTGCTGTATATTCGCATATTTAAACCAAAAGTGACAGTTTTTCTTTTCGGTGAGTCTTATATATATTTCTTGTTGTTATTTTTGATTTCTCTTCATATTGTATATTACAATCCTCGGCTTATTATTACTATTGCTTCTTCGTATCATGGCACTTGATAATTCGCTAAGCCTTTCATCTAAATCTATTTCCGTGGGTGCCATCTCTGTACCTTTACCTACTTTTAATTCACGAAAGGCTGAACTCTGGTTCGCTCGTTTAGAAAGCTTTTTTGTAGCAAACAAAATCACAAACCAGAGTACGAAATTTAGTTATGCAAATTCACTGCTGCCAGATGACGTCATTGAACAAGTGCCGGATGTCATTTTTAAGCCGGATCCTGACTCACCATTCGATTGTCTAAAAAGAGAGGTCATTCGTGTCACATCTCTCACTGACCAACAGACAATCGATCAACTTTTAGCCAACGTCGAGCTAGGTGACAATACACCGTCACAGTTAAAACGCCACATGACAAACTTATTAGGAAGTCGTACAGTAGACAAACGTCTACTATATCAATTGTGGCTCAGACGTCTTCCTCAAAACATTCAACAGATACTAGCAATTGGAGACGAAGACGTTGATTTTGATAGGCTAGCAGACATAGCCGACAGAATTTACGAACGGTCCAAGACTCACCTTGTATCTCAAATCCAATCAAGTTCAGCTGACGAGATCGCCGAGTTACGACGATCAGTTGATATCCTTACGAAACAGATAGCTCACATCCAATTATTGAATGCCTCCCACAGCAAGCGTAGAAGAACATCCACAAGCCGTAGACGACGTAGTCCAAGCACTACTAGACACAACATTTGCTGGTACCATAGAACATATGGCAAACAAGCTAGAAAATGTATTCCGCCTTGTAACTTTGCAAGCACACAGAAAAAGGGACGTCAAGACCGCAGGTTAATGACGACTGCACTCACTGACCACAAACTTCAAGACAGTCGTCTATTATATGTTACAGACAAAAGAACCGGCACACAGTTTTTAGTCGACACTGGGGCAGAGGTTAGTGTAGTACCACCTACTGCACTCGAGAAAAACACACCTGACCCCAAACTAAAATTACAAGCTGCAAACAGGTCTGACATCAAGACGTACGGCAAAAGGCGGTTGCAATTAAATTTCGGTCCTAAATCTAATTTTTCCTGGAGTTTCATCATAGCGGACGTCCTCGTTCCTATAATCGGCATTGATTTTCTGCAATTCCACAAAATACTGGTAGACGTCAGAAATAGGAAACTTGTCCTTGCCGAACAAAGTAAAGAAATTAGAGGAATTATATCAAATGAGACTTCCATACATTTATTAGTTAAACCTCATCAAGAGAACGACAAATACGTCAATTTACTTAATCAGTTTCCAGATTTATTACGACCGAGTTTCAAACACGACAAACCGACGCATACCGTCGTACACCACATAAAGACAGAGGGTCCACCAGTGTTCGCACGTCCAAGACGCCTTGATCCCTCTCGTCTGGCTATCGCAAAGAACGAATTCAACAAAATGATTGAGTTGGGCATCATACGCCCCTCCGATAGTCCGTGGGCATCACCGCTTCATATGGTACCTAAGAAAAACTCTTCCGAAGTTAGACCGTGCGGTGACTATAGAGCTCTCAACAGCCGGACCGTACCAGATAGATATCCTCTCCCACATCTGCATGACTTCACTCATAGCCTATCTGACGTGTCGATCTTTTCAAAAGTTGATCTCGTCCGTGCTTACCATCACATTCCAATTCATCCGGACGATGTTCCTAAAACAGCCATTACTACCCCCTTTGGACTATACGAATTCGTCCGCATGCCTTTCGGATTAAGGAATGCTGCACAAAGTTTCCAGCGTTTTATCGACCAAGTGGTACGGGGCTTACCGTTTGTGTATGCTTACATAGATGACCTACTTATAGCAAGCAAAGATGAAAATGAACATCTAACGCATTTGAAAATGCTTTTTGAGAAGCTAAACGAGTATGGGTTAGCGGTCAATCCTGACAAATGTGAGTTCGGAAAACAATCCCTCACCTTTTTAGGTCACGTACTTGATAAGCAAGGCATTAAACCAGTTCCTGAGGAAACACAAGCTATCAAAAATTATCCTTTGCCTGATTCATTCAAGAAACTACGACGTTTCCTTGGGATGATCAACTTTTACAGACGTTTTATCCCTAAATGTGCAGACTTAGCAAAACCACTAACTGATTTATTAAGGGGACGAGCTAAATCATTAGCAATGACACCGCAAGCAATTCAAGCATTTGATCAGTTGAAAAGCGCTTTAAGCACAGAGGCATTACTCGCACGACGAAAGGTTGATGCACCTTTAGCAATAATGACCGACGCTTCTAACGTAGCAGTAGGTGCTGTACTTCAGCAACGTGTCAATGAACAATGGCAACCCCTTGCATTTTTCTCAAAAAAGCTCAACGCAACGCAAACAAAATATAGCACATTCGGTAGAGAACTGTTAGCTATCTACTTAGCCATCAAACACTTTCGCTATATGTTAGAAGGCAATTCTTTCACGATATATACTGATCACAAACCTCTAACTAAGTCCTTGATGCACAATCATGATAAATACAGTCCGCGCGAAATTCGTCAACTAGAATTCATTTCACAATTTGCAGCTGATATACGCTATATTAAAGGCAATGCAAATGAGGCAGCAGATGCACTATCGAGATTAAATATCAATACCTTCTCGATCCCTGATATAGACTATCAAGAAATGGCAAAGCATCAAAAGCTCGATACGGAGCTACAAAAGCTTTTGCAGTCTAAGGAAACGAAATTATTATTCCAAAACATCCCCATTAACAACAAGGACACCTTAGCTTGTGATACCTCAACAGGTAAAACTCGCCCTTTTGTACCCTTCGGTATGAGACGAAATATTTTTGAGAAATTACACAATATATCTCATCCAGGTATAAAAGCCACTGTAAAGCTTGTCACAGATAGATTTGTATGGCCAAAAATAAACAAAGACGTAAGAAAATGGTCACGGGAATGCGTCCAATGCCAAAAGTCAAAAGTACATAGGCACATCATATCTCCTACCGGAATTTTTCCCGCCGCTAGCGCTAGGTTCGACCATATTCATATCGACATTGTTGGGCCGTTACCGATTTCTAATGGTTACACGCATATACTAACATGTATAGATAGATTTACGAGATGGCCCATAGCTGTTCCGTTAAAAGACACGTCAGCATCAACAGTGGCGAAGAAGCTGGTGAAACACTGGATTACAAACTTCGGTGTCCCTACAACAATTACGACCGACCGTGGAACGCAATTCGAAAGCAAACTATTTCAGCAACTTACAGATACTTTCGGTATAAAGAGAATTAGAACCACTGCTTATCATCCGTCTGCTAATGGAATGATAGAAAGATTCCATAGACAGTTAAAAGCCTCTTTGACGGCCGCACGAGGAGATTACAAATGGGATATCAAGCTCCCTTTGATACTATTAGGTATTCGCTCAACCATCAAACAAGACCTCGGTTGTTGTGCTGCTGAGTTGGTTTATGGAACAACATTACGTTTGCCTGGTGAATTTTTTGACCGTGCAACAGATATTCCAGCAGATATAACCAACTACGTACAACAATTAAAACAGCAGATGGAATCCATTAGGTCCGTTAAACCACGAACCCAAAAGGTGAAATCATTCGTACCCAACGAACTAGACAAATGCTCACATGTATTCGTCAGAAATGATAGAGTACGACAGCCGTTACAGACTCCTTACGACGGCCCTTTTAAAATCATCCGAAAGGACACTAAAACGGTTACAGTGGAAAGAGCAGGTAAACATGATACAGTTAGCATCGATAGAGTAAAACCAGCATTTTTAGAGAACACTGAAAAACAGGCAACTGTAAAACCGTCTAAACCCGCAGCAGAGCAAGCACCATTCAAACTACCTGCAACAAGCAACATTTCAAATCAAAATTCAGCAGCAGCACAAACTACAACAAGATCAGGAAGAAGAGTACATTGGCCAGATAGGTATGTAGCAACCACTATATTTATCTAGACCAAATCCTGAGACTACTCTTATAACACATAAAAATCCTACTTTATTTTGATTACTATTTTTTTTATTGGCCCCACGGATCACCATTATGCTTACATTTTAACTTTATACAATTCATTAATGTTAAATTTACACTTGTATATACATGATATGAAACGTTTCAACACACAAGCTGTTATTACAATTTTACGCTTACTCATCATATTGAGTTGTACTTTTATTTTAAAAACAGTTCCGTTCTTTATCTCTTTGTCGAACATAGATGTTAATCGAATTTTTTTTTTTTGGTACATAAAAACATCAATGTTCTGGATGGGAGCTTATGTAGCAAGCCCTTTTGGCTACTGTATCATTTGTCTAGTCATTGTAACTCAGACTCAATTCACTATGTTAATTTCGGTGTGTATGATCGAATGCATGTCTGTACATTAACTCTTAAGCTATTTTCCTATTGGTTGCAATGTGCAGATAATCGATAATTTATCCACACCCGATTAACTCTCAAATATATATGGATTTTTAACAGACTCACACACTCTCTCTGTTTCATCGTGTGCTTGCTCATCGTGCGCTTGTGGATTATTATTATTCATTAACAATAAACTATCTCTATAACTGGTGTTCAGGCTTTTTAATAATCTCGAGTAAATTCGCAATTCTACTAGGAGATTAAGCCTAGCTAAAATACTCAGTTACGGGATATTATTATTTGGAGTCAGATATTGAGGACATTATCCTCAACAAGGGTCTAAGAAACATCACTTTCAACGTGTCAGCACGTGCTGGAGCGCCAAATGCATCATCATTATGAATAGATCTTCATGGAAACTTTGGACAAGGTCTAAGAAAGGAAGAACAATAAGACAAAAATAATCGACAGCTGAAAAAGTACAAGGACATAATACGCAGAAGCTTAATACACGAGGTAAGCACATCCTTGGAATCCTGAAGGGAAACAAAAAAGTGCGAGGTCATGAACTCACCACGTCGTAATTGGAAGCAGACATGAAAAGAATAAATAGCAAATGAAATGGATGGCGCAGGAAAGAGTGAAGTGGAGGATGCTAATGATGGGCCGATGCTCCCCCAAAATAGTGTATCAATCGTAAGTAAGCAAATGGTTGATTTGAATAGCATTTTGCCTTTCCTTCATGCTCTTTACTTGTGATTTGGGTTTCTGCTTTTTGTAACACCCGAGGTTTTTATATCATCTGCTATCAAACGAAAACTACTGTCACCATTGCTGTAATAACCCTGACTTACGTCTGAACCAAGACACATAAGGATATCAATATGTACTTTGATTCGTCTCCATTGCCATTAACCACTCTGGAGTTTGACTTTCTTGACTGTGAGATAGGCCTCAGAAACGGAGCACCAGAATATCAGCAGAAACGGTAATTTATATTCTAGGAGCAATCACATTGCGTATGTCCAAATAACTTCGTTCAATAAGCGAAAGTATGTTTAGCACATGAAGAATAATTTGTCAGCCTAAGTGTCAGAATAACAGATGAAGTAATTGCATCGTTGGCAGTAGGAATGATTAGCTATCGAATATACGATTCGAGAAATTATAAATTAGTGAAAGAAGTACCGACACAATATGACGAAGAATGGGGAACCTCGGATTTTCGGGAAAGATGTAGAATGAGAGTGACTATGGCACTGCAAACGATTTTCAGCCATATAGTTCGAGATCTCCAACAATCGGTTGCAATAATCATGCCGACCTGAACCAAGTAGTCCGCATTTATTCATGTTGATAGGCTTGATCGACAGAGGCTTCTTGCAGTGATACCACGTTTCAGTGTAGTTGCCACTAGTTTCCCACACTAGGAAACCTCGCTCGTCGAAGTAGACAGTTGTTTAGCATGCTTATCGCATGTCAAAATCACCTCAGTTAGTAAGGATTTTCTATCTCACACACTGATTTTACATCCTTACATGGTACTACATTCCCACCTCAGGCATTGATTACTTCGCGTTCTTAAAATACGCGGCAATTTTTCTTGTATACTCATAAATAAATAATAATAACAACCTACGAAATCACCAAATTTGAGTGTTTCTGTTTCAGACAACAGAATGAAGCGGAGCTATTTGGTTGGAACATGGAAATCTCGCCTACGTCATAAATGACACAGCTAATTAAAAGCCAGTAGGTGTTGTTAGACGCTGGACCATAAAGACTGATCAGACAACCAAAATAAATGAAGGGTTGCAGGCAGTATGACTGATACTTTTATAATTCAGTTCACAACAATTTTCATGATATGCCTTAGTACCAATCGGGATCCAGCGAAACATTTCCTGTTCTAACACACTTCTTCTTCAACACAAATATAATCGAAACACAACATCATCACGGTAGTAGGGTAACGGTGCAGCAGTCATTTGATCAAAGCAGTCAAAAGCAAGGCAACTTCTTAGTAATCACGTTTGTTGTAGCCACTCATTTGAAATATCTTCGGTATAATCCTCAGTAAAGCGATCGTGAGTGAGCATGGGACACTGAAATTGGCGCCGTGCACTTAAAATGTCTCAAACGCTTCTGATTGGCTCGTCCACAAATTATATTCTTGCCGTCACGCTAGTACTCAAACTGCTTGCAAAATCTTACAATTTTGAAGCTTTTAAAAAAGATTACATTCTCGGTGTGTGATATATAATACTCGGTGGGTTGTTGCAGCCTCAGTACATTCATGCTGAAATACCGTGAAAAAGCGTTCAGACATCAACGGACAAACTGAACAGCTGACGATACCTTTGACCAGTTACAACAACAACAAGCTTGATACGATTTCTCACAATTGATATTCATTGTTTCCAAAATTAATTCTTCGTAAATACTTGATGTCATATGATTGTGTTCAAAATACTATAGACCTTTTCGAGCTTCTGTGAACGGATTGCAATTTTGAGTTTTCATTCACATCATGAATCAATGTTGTCAAGCCACAGTTAAAAATTTGAAAGCACTGGACAGCCTCTTCATCCCAATATGGAACTCCGCGGCCGTGCACATCCAGACGTTTGCACCTAGGACTACAATCTAGGACCTTAGGTCTGGTGGGCAAATGCCTGACATTAAGCCACAATGCCGGTATAAATCGGTGTTATCGTATAATTTGAGCGACCACCTACAATTGTCCCCGTTGAGCGATTTCCTCACTCCCGATAAGATTCAGTCGAGCTGTATACGTAAACCCTGAGAACTACCTCCCTGAACTAGTCACCAGACAGAAGGCAAAATAACGACCTGCTATGTTATTAATACTATTTCAATAATACAGCCAACCGTAAAATTCTAGATTTCTTATAATGTTATTTTAATAAACCACGTCAAAATGCATATCAATCAACACTAGTTAGGAGCTTAACTTATGCCGGTATAAGAATTTTGTGCTTGGAAATAAGAGAACAAACAGTGCTGTATAAATGTTGATAATGATGGCACATTTCATTTCATTCAGGAAGACATTTAACGTCCATTTCCAATTATGTCGGTATAAGAACTTTGCGCTAGGAAACTGGAAAACAAACAATACTGTATAAATGTTGATAATGGTAAAACCTTTCATGTAACTCAGCAAGTCAGTTGACGTCCATATGCATTAGTAGGCTAACTGGAAGAATAAAAGTGTAACCTTGGAAAAGAAGAATTCCAAGCAACTTTCCAGCTTGCTTGTCAAATTGAGTACGGTTTGTTCAGATACGAAGTCATTTCTTCGATCACACAGGCGGCCTGCTTGAATAACCTATTCTTATCATTTACATATTTCCGCATTTCACAAAAGTACACGAGTCGCTTATGCAATTATTTGACAAGATGATATTTGAAAACAAACAAGGAAACAGATAACTTGGTTATTATTTAGACGGTAGTGACAGGTAGTCCGAATATATCAGAACTTCAGACAAGTCAGTTAACCGACCGACTTTCATCATAGTTTCATCAATTTTACAAATCTTATTACATGGTTGTCAAGTCATGACAATGCTTTATGACGATTTCCTGAAACCATTATGCTTAACTGGTTATAGCAGTGATTGATTAAATGTCAGTGCAAAATAGATACTGTTGTTGTAGTAGATTGTAAATGATCAGTAAGTCGTGGGGTCAGCGTGTCCGAGCCGCCTGATTATATTATTATATGCAACTTAAAAATATGCTAAATTTTAGTTCTTATACCAGGAGTTACATTAGAGAGGTGACGTATGTTAGACATTTTACACACAAACACGTATGGCGATAACGAATATCATGGATTAATTGAAAAATGTGAAAAGCGACTCATAAAACTATTACGTTCAGATGACATACATAACATTAACAAAATGGGTGTGCAGAACAGATTAACCTGCAGGTTGACGACGTTCATAACCACTTAGACGGTTTTTTACCATAGATTCTCTTTGTGGAAGATTACTTTCCAGATTATTTATGTGTATTTGTAATGAGTATGTTTCGTTGAGTACGGTTGTTCAAGGGCTCTAGCATTAGGAAAAAAATGTTCCGGCAAAAACAATCCCACTATCCTTTAAGATATCTCACAGTCCACACACAATCATTATCAAATTCCAAGCACGTTTCCGCTTCTTTGAGATGAGCATAAAGATGTAATAAAAAAATATTGTTCGGTTATACAGATTGTTCTGGACTTGAAATATTGGAATCTTTCAAATTTTGAAGTCACGTGGGGATCTAATTGCATTTAATATACCCAATTAGTTTCCAAATTCTAACCATAAGCAAGCCGGACAAAGGATGAGAGCTAGTTCCAATAAACGAAGCGGATTACATTGATAAAATGAAATCGATTTTGAATAATCCGACGAAATTTGAAAAACTCAACGACGTGAAGAACATTAACATGAATGCAGAAAAATATCTGATTGTTTTACTTAAGGAATTAATAAACAAACAGATTGTTACTTCAAACATACACGACTAAATTAAACACACTGGATCGAACACACCGCAACCATATGATTTACCCAAAGTTCACTTGACAGGTATTCACCCAGTTTTGGATATGTATGGCTCGCCATATCCTAAAACTACGAAGTGGCTAGTTCGAGTTCTATATATTTTACACAAACTAGTCTTCAACAGAAGCTGAAAGACGTCTTCGATTTCATTTCCAAAGTAGAACATCTGACATTAAACGGGAAACGGATGATATCTCGAGATGTTGCTTCCCTATTTGGCAATGTACCATTAACTGAGACTAATGAATTTGTGTGTCAACAACCACATGAAAAACAAATCAATATTGGGATTACTGGAGTTAGTCTCAAAGAATTACTTTTGGAATGTACAATGTCTGTCTATTTTGTCTTTAATAACACATATTGTAGACAAGTTGATTGCATAGCAATCGGTTTGTCTCTAAGTTGTGTGCTTGCAGATCTTTTCTGGCGAAACTAGAAAACAAACCACTCAAAGAGGTTATTATGAAGCTTGACTTCTACTGTCTCTACGTTGATGGCACAAGTGTTGATCAAAATATTGGAAAAGAAGTGAGATTAGAAATATTTAGCAACAAACATCCAGCAATTCAATTTACATGTGAAGAAATAATAGACAATAAACTAGATAATAAACTTGACGTTTTGTTAAGTAGAAAAGAAAATGGTTTCATCAGTAGAGATGTGTATAGAAACAGTACTTCATCAAGCCAGTACACACATTTCTTAATCTTTATATCTCTTCAATATAAGAGAAACTTTGTCAAAT